TCGTCAGAGATTGTAGAAATCTTGAGGTAGTAGGGAATTTGAAGTTGATATAACTTGCAAGCGTTGTTTTTCGTTTATTATAGCATTGTGATTCAGGCTGGAACACAATATTCATTCATTAGGAGGTAAAGAAGAGAAAACATCCATCCTGTGAAACATACAGAATGTAATCTGCGTTCTTCATCAGCTAAAGCGGCAGTCGGAAAATTTAACTGCAAACGGGAATGGAAACAGCAGTCTTACCTGAGTGTGACCCTTGAGGTTCTCGGGTTCAAGCAGCCTTACGCGTGGTTTTTGGCTCTGGCTCTGTTCCATATCTAATTACTGAAATTCCCTGGGTAGGGGCTGTAGGTTGAAAGCCTTTTCTTGCATGACAGCCTACGTGATGTTGAAGCTGACTGGTAGCACACATCAGTAAGAAGCTTGGCCACTAAACCCCATTACTTTTAGACCTTTCAAGCTTAAATATCTTCTAGGGTTGGCATTTCAGTGAGATTACACAAGGAATTTATTTGACCCTTCAAAACGTTACCAGTCGAGAAACTGTTTCCTTGAAGTGCTTACTGTAAAATTCCCTTTTCAGAGGCAAATGGTGAAGACAATATTTTGCAATATTCGCAATATTAGGAAGTTGAAATGGACACTTTCAGTAGAAAACCACATTCTATTGCGATAATTCTCACACACAGTGGAGCATATTTTTTGCTTCGGCTTGTTTCAGTTCCCTCAAAGGTGTGTTTGCATATGTATGAATATACAGTGAGGGAAAAAATCATATTTTGGCTCAGCACAGGTTGAAGTTAATACAAAAATAACTGCTTGCAAATAGAAGGGCCTATCCCACAGAGGGAGTTTTCCCCTTTTTCACCAATTTAAGTTAATGCTTAGGCCAAACTCTCTTACTTACACGCGCCCATATCAGGTTTCTCCCACCTGATGGTTTGGTGAAACGATAGGAAATGTAAAAAAGCAGAATGTGGAAGAGCCCAGGGTGGGATTGCAGAGGCATAAAGGGACAAGAAGGTTAAAAAACAAGTCAAGATGAACTAGGGGCTTGTGAGCAACTGGCCACCAACATCAGAGGGAAGAGGTGGTCCAAAAGACACTGGGAAAGTGTGCCTGAAGAACTTGGCAGGAGAAGCATCTGCCTGGTCAGTGGGCTCTGGGATGGTATCTCCTTGCGTCTGGCAGGGTGGGGAGATACCTGCAGTTCCCAACAGCTGCTAAACAGAGAGGACACATCCCACATGGGAAAAATGGAATTTTAACTCGGAGATGATCTGAGAGAAGTTGGGGTGGGCAGCGTCCCCTCAAAGATGAACATACCCAAAAGTGGCTGAAAAATACGTGGTATGTTGTAACTTGGGGTTTTTTTTACTTCTAACTTCCAAGTATTTTGGGTGTCTGATTCCTGGCTTTGGAAGTCCTTGGGTCCATAATACTAAAAAGTTAAGTTAATAAAAAAGTCTGAAGTATGGACTGTGGAAAAGATCTGATCCCTCATTAGAGATGTTTCCCTGTCAGCTAGGTTTGAAAGAAAGGAGAGACTGGCTTTAAATACGGCATTTTCCTCTGGGAGCTCTTCCTTTATCATGCTGTATTTTCTTTGCTCATCTCCCTAACCTAGAAACTTCCTTGGTGTGAGAACTGGGAAAGGAAGAGGTGCACTGAGTCAGCAATGATGCAATCATCCTGGGTTTTGATGTCACTTCCCAGCCTATATTTATAGATTCATTTTTTTTCTTTGATATTAGAGATTTGGTAATTTCAAAGGTAGAGCAGGTTGGTCAGGACCTTATTCAGTTGAGTTTTGAAGATCACTGAGAACAGAGATGCTGCAATCTCTTTGGGAACCTATTCCAGTCTTTAATCATCCTCACAAGGAAGAATTTCTTCCTTGTGTCCCATCAGAATTTCCTTGCCTGCAGCTTGTGCCCATTGTCCTTTCATTGAACACCCTTGAGAAGAATTTGTCTCCATCTTTTTTGTCACCTCCCTTTTGGGAGTGGGAGACTTGCCGTGAGATTTTCCCTTTTGCCATCTTTTCTCCAAGCTAGTTCCCTCAGCCTCTCCTTGTCTGCCAGGCGTTCTCTCGCCATCTTAGCAGAGCTCTGCTGGACTCCGTTTGTGAATGTCTTTCTTGTCCCGGGGACGTGGATGTGGAGGTGGGGATCTGCGTGATCACTTCCCGCTACATGCTGGCTCCGGTTTTGCCGATGTGCTTAGTATTCTGCTGAGTTCCCTTAATACCTTTAGTAAAAAGTAAAATCCACAACTACAGTAGGTCTCAAGGGGAGATCAATGACATTGCCAGTGTCTCAGGGCTCTGCATTAGCGACGAATTAGTTGAATAAATTTTCTAGATAATTGTAGGATATAGAGGAGGAGAGAATCATCCTAGCTTTCTTCAGGATGACCATCAGCCCACCAGTAGTAGTTCTCTCTGATTTGACCTGGAGAGAGATGTCTGCTCCTGCACTGACCTAATGTCTGAGATGGGTTCAACCATGAGCAAAACACCACAACCAGACGCCTTCCAGGCTTCCCTTCCACCACATGCATCCATGTGCCTTGCCCCATATCTGGTTTCTGGCTTTGGCAGTCTCCAGTGTGTTAGAGCAAAGTGAAAAAAACCAACGCCAAACAGTTCATGAGTGGTGTGAGAGAGCTTTCCTCCTAAACCCCGCCGCTGTCAGGAGATGCTCTGAAGCAGAGGATTAATGAAGTCCGTGTTGCAAACAGAGAAGTAATTTGTGCTGCAGAAAAGTAACACGATAGCGAATGGAACTTTCTATTAAAAAATGTGATCCAGAGCGATGAGAACCAGGCAACCCTGTACATTTTCTGATGCCGTTTCTCTTTTCCCCACATTTAGGTGGGCTCAGGGATTCAGTTCATATCCATAAGTTTATTCTTAAAATAGCCCGAATTCAGAGAACTTCTAGATAGGCTTTACCACCTATTTTCGATTAGGTCATCTTTGGAAGCTGAATTGTTGGCTGAATTTTAGAGAGATTTTCACGGTGGTAACGTTTTCAATTTCCCTGATGTTCTGGTGGCGGGTCAAAGCTTCCATTTGGATCCATATGCTTGTTCTAAAAATGAAATTGGTGGTGGAATTTCTTGTGTGGATGGCTTGCTGTCTTGGCATCATCAAAGACTTAACCTCAGAGCTCCACTACCACCCGTTCCCTTTTCATCAGAGATGTAAAATATTCAGACAGCAGCTTCCAAGGAATAAGGGAGTTACGTTGAAACAGTGGAGGATGCATACATCTGTTGATTGAGATGATGCCCCTTTCATTTTTTTTTTTAATTATTATTAATATTTGCAGGCTCTTGAACTTCGGTAGAAATTGTGGAAAACAAAGCCAGAAAGTGGGTGCACCGTAGGCAGCAGTCATGGCATCCGTCACAGGCCGCTGGGGGATTGAACCCTTTGCTCTGGTTTTATGCGATACCTTTTAATAACCGCACGATAAGTCACGGGGTTCCTTGGGACGTACCTAAAGGGCTGTTGTCCCTTCCTATTCCGTTACGTGTTTCAATGTACAGAGCAGCTCTTTTGTCGTACCAAACCCGGTAACAGGAACCAGAAAGAGAAAGCTGGGTCTAATACAGGTTTCTTTTTCTTCCTTCCCAGTCAAATCTCTACCCTACAGTGGGTCTCCAGACTCCAGGAGAGATAGTCGATGCCAACTTTGGGCAACAGCCGTTTGTGTTCGACATTGAGGACTACATGAGGGAGTGGCGAGCGAAGATTCAGAGCACCATTAAGCGGTTTCCCATAGGAGACAGACTAGGCGAGTGGCAAGCCATGCTGCAGAAGTAAGTCCCCGTGCTGGTGTTCCGCTTCTTTATTTCTGTTAGGCTTTAAATACTTTTTTTTAATGCTAATGTATGCTTTCTTATGGCAAAAAATTGCCAGTCAGTGCATTTTGCTCAATTTGGTTTACCCCCTGTTTTGTTGTTTAATAGTCTTTCCTATGTAGATTGCTGCTGTTTCAAATGTAAAAGATATGGGAGAAGTTTTCAGCCAAAGACTGCATGAAAGCTTGTAGGAATGGAAGAACATACACTTTGAGGTGATGCACGGGGGGAAGGGGAGTGGAGAGGACAACATAAGAACTCTAACGTAGGAGAAAAGCCAGTATGTAAGTCAGCTGAATTCAGAAATGAAAGAGCAAGAAATAGCCTAAACCAAAGGCGCCCAAACCCGACCTAACTGAAAACACAATTACGGCACTTTATAAATTTATGATTATGGAATGCATTTACCATTGCAAAAAGGATTGAGTGGAACTTGATGAGAACAATTGGCAAGAGTTGTCAGAGGTCAGAAGTATCTTCTGCCTGAAGGAAGACGGAGTTGACTAAGGCTCGGCAGCTTGGAAACGGGTAACTGCGGGAGGTGGACTGCAGTTGTCTGTCAGTCGTTTACACCATGAAGAGCATGACTGGAAAGGGATTACTCACAGTTTCTCAAAACACGAGAAATGGAGAAAATGCACCTTCTGGCTTAAAAACAAAATAATGTGGTTTTTTTCAGGAAGTATATGAACCTGTGGGACTTGCTGCTGCAAGAAATTGTGGTGGTTTAAGTATAAGTGGATTTTAGAAGATACACATTTAAATATTTACAGTAATTGATGGAGGCCAATTCCATAGTTATATTTTAAACCCCCAAGTCCATTTCTGATTGCTCTGTCTCTGATTACAGATAGCTTTGTGTTTCACCTTTTTAG